AGATTTGTTAATGTTCTTTTGTATTTTAAGAAAATAGAGAATAAAAAAATTGGTGGAAAAACGACCGTTTTTGAATTTTTAATTGATGCGTTGAGGGGTTAATACACTAGGACACATACACTTCTTAGATTAAATAATAAAATACCCTCCTTATAAATCAAACTAATATCATTAGAAGAGAAAAATTCGTAAAACTAGTTACTTGAATAGCAAATTACTCTATTAAAGGACTTTCAAGCGTTTCATGTGTCTTGTACTTTTCTCTCAATCCATTTTATCATATTTATGTTCTAATTTCCTTGAGAATGTCACTATTCAATATACCTCTTTATGACCGATACACGATAATTCCTAATCTTCTCAAGCCACCATTGACAGTCACAACTTTCATTATCGATATCCGCACTATTTTTTCCAACATTCCTCAACGAATTATCTCGAATTCGCTGACAAATTGTCGATCTCACGACCAGTTTCTCACTCCAGATATTTATTAAGTATTTGAGTTTACGATATTCAAATGATTGCAACGAAGAAAAATCTAGTAATGGCAACGTTCTAGCGACTATCTCCAGTCACCTAACTTATTTCAATTTTAATCTTTCTGTACCGTGCCGCCTTCTAATCTCCCTGAAACTAATTCTTGTATCTAGTTCCACATCCCAGCATCTCAAGCCTGCATTCTAATGACACACGACGGTTTTTTTTTTCTTCCTCTCCAGGCATCATCGATCGACCGTATCCATTTTCCGTGATTGTCCTAATTTATTGCACGGATTCGATCTTATCGAACCGCGAGTTATGGCGGCGAGCCACGGGCGACCACCATTGACGTTAATAGGCTAAATCCATCCAAAGGAAAATCAATTCGCGTATGCCCCCATGGTTAACAATTTCCGTGATCGATCGAATATACGATTTCCTCTGCGTATGTCACGGAGAGACATCGAGAATAGCACACTATATCGTTGTGTGTCCCTTCAGCGTCGGGAGTTTTGCAAGAATCCGCAATCTCGGCCGCGTATTGTATATATCTCGAAAAGATATACACTCGCGGTATGGTCAGGGGTTTAGTGTGTTTATAGTAATTTATTGGACGAAACACGAGGAAATATCGACGGGAAATATACTGGTATGTAATTGGAAAAATTGTAGGGGGTTAGATACACAGGAGTTTCGTCGCGATACGACGCAGGTATGATTAGAATCCTAGAGCCTGTTGTTGGCAGAGAAGATTGAAGTTTATCGATGGTTTATGCGTGTTCGTTGCATAGAGTGTATGTTTTTAGATTGCAGTTTTCCGTAGTTAGTATATCTTCTTGACAAGGGAAAGATAGTTTCTACGTGTTGCCATAGATTTATGTATTGTTAGGTGTTGAGTAAAGGATGTGGTAATAATTAGAGAAGGGGGAGCAATAAATGTAATTTTAAATGTGAATGATACGAAATGTGTGAGGATGGAATTGTAGTTATCTGCAATGTGAAGCAATAGAAAGTGATTTGAATGTGTTGAAAGGTTTTTAACGGTTTATTGTCCTTGTTACGATTTATCTACCAGACAATAATAATGAATCTTGTTTGTATACTATTGACTTATCTTATTATTTCCATGAAACTCGACGAAATCAACATTTCTGCTATTTTCATCAGACAGAAGGCCGAAAACAACCTAAACAACTATCTTATTCAGAAAATAGTAAAGTATTTATTGGTACACCTAATACAATGTAAAGTTCGAAACAATTTATTCAACATTAACACAATTTAAATCTCATAATAAGTAATTAACGATATTAGGGGTACCAATAAGAAATCCATTATATTTAGTCAATTTCAATAGTCTGTTTTCGAGGAAATCAGAAACATATGCTGTTTCTATTTATCTTGAAAAAAAAGGGTAAGAAGATGTTTTAAATTTAAACTGTGTGAGCAATCTATTAAAAATAAATAGTGGATTACTTATTATTACACCTAAGATTTTTGTGTCGTACTTTACGCTTCATAATTCCGCCAAAGCGATTGTACAGCAGTTATTACTGTAAAACTTCGCATAAATTCTAAAAGCTCTTTTAGTCTCACGGCGAAATCGTGATTCCACGAACACAACGACAAATTATTGCGTGGCCATACACGATTGTTCTCACCATCTTCGCCGTGCAAATCACCGGTGAACATTCGTGTTTCGTTTCACGGTTACGCTACGGTTATTACGCGACGATTATTTCGTCCGACCGTGAAGCATGAAATTTGTGGGTTAACCACCGTGCGCCTGTTTTATTTGCCAGCGTTATTGTCGAAGTATGTAACTTTTATGTAACCCTAGACACACAGCCAGCGGACACCTTGAATGCAGCCTTGGGCGTTTGATAGTTTTACTTTGAACGAGCCGCGTGTGTTTGTCACATCGCTTCGACCGCTTGACATTTTATAGTCACATTCGTCGTCGACTCAAAATACGTATTATCTAAACTTCGAAAAATCGCGCGATTCGCGAGACGTGTACAAATTATTAGACACAGGCCACAAAGGAAGAATCAACTAGAGATTCTTTTAAAAGAACATTTCACTTATACTTTGTTAATATTCTATTTAATATTTAATGTGCACATTCGTGTGTTCGTAATTAACGAATTAATATAGATTTGGCAAGGTTTTCATCAACCTTTTACAATTTCTTTTCATGTTTTCGCTGTGAAACTGAAAATGAAATTAAGTAACTTGTTTCGATTTATCTTGTTCAACGATTGTGTGCTTAAGAATCTGAGAGAAGCATCTTGAAAGTTACAATAGCTTCTGCCTAATCTGAAACTTCGTTATCGTAAGCATGATGGTGGAACCTTGATTTCTAATCCTTTTACAATTCATACCTGCCGAACGTATTGAGTGTTAAAACGGTATCACTTACACCATCCTATATATTAAATTAGATAAGGATTCTTTTTAAGTATCTAAACTTTAGAGGACATTGATCTCGTAATATGAATGATTATCAGAAAACTCGAAGATTCAGAAATTCTGTAAGGATATGAAATTCTGTAGTTTTTGCAATGCTTACAACATCAACTATAACCCCTTCGTTTACGAAAGATTCTATATAACTCTAAACCAATAGATACAATATTTAGTAATAGTATCAATTTGATACATTTCAGTTTTCGGTTTCAATTGATCGTTATTAATATCCCTATGCTTGGAACACTTGAGAAATAATCTTCTAGTCTTTATTGCTTTCAAAGTACTTGCAATACTCGTCGTATTACTAACTGGACTATTTGAGGTATATTGGATTTATTTCTAGAGCTAGCAGTCAGCTCCAAGGAATCTGTACTGGAAAAAAGATCGGGCAATAACTTTTTGCACCAAACTATAGGAAAACTTGAATCACAGATAAGGTATAGACCTATCGAATAACATATTTTTGTACACTCAACATAAACATTACTGTTTTTTAATATAATTACAAGTTATTGTTAAGTATTGACAGGATTTTAAGAATCAATTATCTCGTCTATAGAATGAACCACTCATTTTGTAGGGTTCCGTGCAGAAAGATATCTCTAATAACGACAGCTTAACAAACAAGCGATTTTAACGGCCTCTGTAATATCACAGAGGAACTTCGTACGTAAGTATAGTAGGAGCTCGTTTATTGCAGTCTATTTTATTGTAACATAGGAACGGCCTTCGCTGACACGTATTTCTCACGCACGTGCGCGCATCCCACTCTGTCGTTCAGCACATGATTTGTTGCAATCACTAACCCATGCTTTTCTACACTTTAATATATAAATAAGATAACTAAACAAATTTAATTATTAATCATTTTGTACGGTACAATTTCATTCACACTATTGATTACATTGTTTTCAATGAAGAAGGATAAATGAAACTACTGTTCAATCATACGTGCATTATAAAAAATGGTCCATTAACTTTGAGTGCTCAATATCTTCGAAAATTTCGTGGGACACCAAGTCCCATAGGATGTTAGGTCTATTCATATATTTCGTCTGTGCCTCTACAGCCCCGAAATGATCATACCAACAATTGGTACGATTAGACCGAATATTTTCAGCTAGTAAAGTAGGTTCCTGAGTGTACCAAAATTTTATGGAAGCTGTAAATGTAGTTTACATACATATGAAATTCATATGAAAAAAATAATCGACAATTATAGAACTGCAAACTGTAGAAAAATCAATAACTTCTTATAAATAATTATATCTATATTTTTAATACATAATTGCGAAGGCTTAAGAGGACACGTAACGAGTATCGATAAGGAAGGAATTATATTACCAAAGAATTAGTTAAATGGAAACATTTTTTACAAATGTATAAGTAATTACATAAATTTAATTAACCGTCGTCTGAAACAAAACTCCAAAATCTTTCTTGAACTGATAAACATCGCCGAGAATGTCTGTAGACTATCTAATTATGTAGCAGTTGAAATCAGTCAAGTAATCTAATTTTTAAAAAATTCATAAAAACGAAAAGAATATTTCATGAACAATCAGATAGTAGGAAATTATATAACATCAGTTCAAAAGGTGAACCCAAAAATAATATTTTTCTTTCTTCACTTTGCGTAGTACGTGTCAGTATGTCAGCCTTTAACTCTTTAGGGTTAGGTGGGTTAAAAACTGTCCCACCTTTTGCTTAGCTTTTTATGCATGGTGGGATATATTTTAACCCACCTCGAAAAGTTGAAGTTACTCATAGTCATACAGTTTAATATTTTATTTTTATATAATTTTTTTTATATTAAAAAATATTCTGTGCAACTAGGGTTTTTATTTACTTTAAAATCGTGTGCCTCGAAGAGTTAAAGAGCAATAACCAGAGACGTTGCATACTTCATTACATTTTCATCAACTAGAACCATACTTCAAGATGAACGAGACGTGGTTTCGGAAATTCGTTACTCGAACAGAAACTTCCGTGTTGCGTAACGGGAACAAGGATAGTACATAAATGTATTTCGTATTCGGTAATAGACGAAAATAGGGGTTCCAGAATTAAAAAGACATCCGAAAACGATCGGTTCCATGGGCAACTGTTTACAACCGAACGAACCTGAATGCAATAATATTCCAAGAGCGACGAGCATCACTGTCGATACTACACCGATCAAAGAACGTAACGTTCCAATTATCTTCTTGCTCGGTGGACCAGGCGCTGGAAAAAGTAACTCAAACCATTAATACTTGGCACTTGTCGATTTCATTGCATAACCTAGCAAACATCATTGTCTTAATTTTCCGTTTCCTTTCTGCTTTAATTCAGCCTCTTTAATCTATCCTATCCTTTAATACAAAGATAAAGGAACCAAATTCGATCCAAGATACTACGCATTGTTCTTTCTTTCATTCGTTCTGTAGCTCATGGTTAATTATTTCAGGAACATTGTGCACGAAGGTGGCAGAAAAGTACGATTTCCTCGATATAATAAGCAGCGATCTGATCAGGCAGGAAATATCAAAACGAACGGAGAGAGCTTTTACTTTGGCGCGTTTAATGTCGCAAGGACGACTCGTACCCACGAATGTTCTGTTAGAACTGATCGCGAGTAAGATGCTAAACAATTTGTCCAACAAGAACGGTGTGATCATGAGCGGTTTTCCAAGGCAGAAAGACCAGTGTCGAATATTCGAGAGACACGTGCGACCGCCCGATCTCGTTTTGTATCTGAACGTAAGGAATTCGGTGCTCAGCGATAGAATAATGGGCAGAATGGTCACGATTACAGAGAGCCCGCTTATCCACTACGAGGACATCAGGAAACAAATCAGGGAATTTCATAAAAGGAATCGACCGATACGTAAATACTACAAGAAGGTACTGGTGATTATAGACGGTGAATCGGACCCGATTAACGTGTACGAGGAAGCGTGCGAAGCTATCGATAACGTTTTAATGAGGAGAATGTCGAACACGTGAAATTTTTCTCGAACTTTGTGAACAGTTTTCATAATCTATATGATGGTTACTGAAGAGGCAAACTTTTATGTAAGTGTATTGAAATCGGATTTTTAATTCGACTAGAAGACATTGTAGTATTTAGTTTGCATATTTTAGTTTTCTATATGTGAGCTGTTTGTTTGTGTATAGGATGTGTGTAATTGAAAGAATATTACTTAATTTAATTGAAAAGAGGTACTCGATACGCATAATGTATTAGATTGAACTTTCGTGTGTAATGAACATTCTTCTATAAATAATTTAGGTGTTATTAATATATGAAATATTGTAATTAACGTGATGTTGGATGTAAAGAACTCATTAAAGAAAATTAAATAATGATTCTAACATTATTACTAGGTACAGCGCGTTTAAGGGAACATGTATTTCTGAGTTTATGCATACGAACATTGACTTCGAAGAAAAATAGTGGCTTGAATATGAATCTTACTAACTAAGACGATCTAACATAGTAACAATAATGATAGTCCTGTGAATCGCATTAAAAAAGAACTGCTGTATCTCTCAAGAGATACGGGAAAGAAATATCTGATCCCAATGACTTACAGTATAAATAACTATGCTCTTTTTCCATACTATTCAAATATTAGGTGTACCAATAAATAATCCGCTATTTGTGTTCAATGAACTGGCAACATGGTTTAAGTTTGAAACATATTTCTACCCTCTTCTCCTTTCAAATATCAGTGAAAGCACATAAGCTTCTGATTTTCTCGAAAATAAGTGCTGAATTTGATAAAATATAGTGAATTACTTATCGATACACCCAATATTTTGTACAACAAAAAATTCACCCTCTGTCATGCGAACTCAACTGACGATTCCATCTATAAAAATGTATAATTTCTAAACCAACTGCTCGAACTAATACGTAAACCGACTGTCGTTTACACATTTTTCCTGTGCAAACACGGATAGTGTTTTTGATAGGTGGTTATTCATTATGTGTCTACGTCCGTGTGCCTCCATTTATACTATGGCGTACGTTTGTATTTATTCATCCCCTGAATGTGTTTCCGCTCGTTTTAATCAGCAAACGGATGGTTGCTTCTATTTACGAACGCACCCATATAACACACGTAAGACCGTCCTATACCTGTGTCCGTCCGTATAAACCTGACTCTACCCTACATAAATCGTCCGGCGTGCGCCTGTATACGATACACTTGGCAGATATGTTCATAAACATGCATGCATCTTCTATGGTATTCATCTGCACGTGAATCGTTCTTCCGTCTCTCGGTGGATGACTGATACTGATAGACCGTGTTCACCGGTGGTTGTGGCATGAATGGACGATCGCTCGCTGAAACCCGAGATTCAAATTTTCGATGAAGAAAATTCGAAGTGTTTGACAGATAACGAAAACATAATTTTAAAATTGGTATACATTACTATCCATAAAGGTAAGAATCGACACTTTACTGTGAAATCCGCTGCAAACTCTTAATTTTTTAAATTATTTCACGATCCTCTTTAAATGTTACAATCTTCATATTTTGCAAAATTACATTTAGAAGATTGTTCATAAAGGCAAAAACAAAAATAGGAATTTTGTTCTTCCCTTAAGTATCTTATTGGGTTCAAACGAAAATAGAAAACTTGTTCCATCCGACGAAAGTTTTGTTTTTATTGTATTTCACAGAGACCTATAAGCTATAAATGCCTAAACTTCGCAGTCCAGTTATGAAATTAATATGTATATTCTCCTTTGGAACGACACGTGACCCTAGCTTTTAACACGCTGACTGCCACATTGAAAAAGACCGTACATAGCCGGACACGCTTTATTTCGTTTTCAAGATATAAATCGTAGAATTAGTTAATAGAAATTGTGATCTTGTTTTAAATTATTGTAGCTGTATTTGAAAAAAAAATTGTAACGGTATTTAAATACTTTAGTCTTTTTGCAATGCACGTGTCACCCATATTTGGGAGACATGGCAGTGTTAATTGCAATCTACGTGCATCGTTTTCATAAAAGGAAATTCCTCTGATTGACATTTGCAAAAATATAGCTTGTTATCTGTATTTTCTGCATTACTTCATAAAAGAATAATATCAAACCGAGTACAGTAATAAGAAACTCGAGAACGCATAAAAATTGTAAGACCAGACACGAAGTAACACAGATTAAACTCATATAGAAGAAATTACTCAGAGGGAATGAAACGATTAAAATTATGACCCGATAAAGTGCAAGAATCAACTCTCCAGCTGTATTCCCTTCATACATATAGAACCGTATTATCTACATTTAATGCATCTGTAAATAATTTCTGCATTGATCCCGTTAACCCGAATATTTTCCTCGATCGCCCCCTGATCATCCGCCCCTGATAGCCAGCACCGTTCATTGTACACGCGATACAGGTTTGATTGTGTTCGTGGGCGACCTATCGAAGTCCTCTCCGACTGTGTTCTCCCATCTATGTATTGGGGTGGGTGGACAGGGCGGTTGGCTGCGTTTATGAGGGCGCGGGCCCGAAATTGAAAAGCACCCCAGCGAGAGGTAGGCGAGGGTGGTCGTGCAGCAGTCATTGACAAGCGAAAGACCGTATCAGAGGGTAATCCTATTGGTGGACGGCAGCGTCGCGACGTCCAGGCGTCATTGGTTCGCCTCGGAGCTATGGGGCGTGGCCACGAGGCGCCCTAGGTGGGGACGGTGGATGCCTGGCTGGAGCCCTGGCAACGATTACCGGAAAACCACAGGGTCGTTCGACAGGGAATCCAGCATGGCGGACATGGCAACCCCTCCGGCTGAATTCACTCACCACCATTCGCCACCCCCGCGGCTATTACCGAGGCCACTACTTGCCGACTTCACCGCTAAACCTGGCTCTGCCCGGTGGATTTCGCTCGATTTGTCCAGGGGAACACTTCAGGAATCGGAAGTTCGATCGAACGATTAATTGCTCCGTTAACTGATCTTTTCAAATACCCGACTCTTTGACCGGGCTACGCGGATACAAGACGATGTTAGGAAAATTGCTATCCTCTTCTATTCTATACGCTTATTACTGTCTGAACAGAAGGATTCGCTCCCGAATTATTATATTTTAGTTATTATTCTGTAATGTCTCCCATTCTTTCGAGTCGTAAGGATTCAGTAGGTAGTACATGTAAATAACTTACGCTTCATCGTAAGAACTACCCTTAGGATTAATGTGTAACTATTCAACTCCGTATGAAATATTAAAAGCAACACATTTGCCTGACTCTTCCTTCAGGAAAATAAATGAAATCATTTAAATCCTACATTCCAAATTCATCGGACCCCTTTGACTCGCATTTGTTCTAAGAAGCATTTTTTCCAGCGCGCTGAGAACTGCATCGCCCCGTAGCACCGTCGGTGCATCTGATTCCAGGCGGCGCCTAGCGTTTCCACCTCGATCCGCGCGAAGGGTTGCTGGGGTGGTGTGCGCGGGGGGTTGGCGGTCGAAACGAAGAAAGGAACGGAAGCGGGAAAGAGAGGGAGAGAGAGCGAGTTTCACTACCACGTAACCAACGATCAACAATTGCACGACGTTCAGTGGGTGAAGGTAGGCGTCGTCTCGTGGTACGATGCCCGCGAGGGTGGGGGGTCGAAGCGTCGTCGGCCAGGCGTCAACCGGGGCACGGAGGAGTGCGCGCAGGCGCCGCGACGAGCGTCGTCGGCGAAGCGCCGCGTCAAACGTGCCGGCTATAGGTTAAATCCTCCCGCTCCTCGTTTTTGTTGTTTTTCCGGCGTTGCCTCCTGATCCCGCCTTCAAAAGTGCCAACGGACCAATCGTGTTAGCTGGTTGCTCACGGGACGCGATCGGGCTCGTCGGTACACCCATCCGCAGCCGCGAAACGACGGGAGACCAACGCGATACGGGACGATCGTCGAGCTGATGTCGATCTCTCGTCGAGATACCGACTTCGAGACGTCATCTGTCGTCGTTGGCCTCCCTGACACGGCAGCGGGAATCTTGGCGCTACGGGTCCCGTGTTAAAACGATCCGATCGACGACTCGAGGACAGTCGTCGCGAACCACCCGTTGGTGTATCAGTGGACCGGACTTATAGAATATTAAACCTTCGCGGAAATTAGTGTGAGAATTCGTCAGGTATCGGGGTGATTCCGGACTGTTCTTGGACTATTGGTGTGCGCAAGTGATGGAAAAGTGAGCTTTTTGGAGCTTAGCTGACAGGTGAGATTTTAATGGTGATTTACCGATTGAAATCTTTGACGAAGGCTTGTATGCAGGACGATGATGTTAGATTATGAACGCTTCAATGATTGGTCTTGTACTAGAGTTGAGCGCGAAATTTTTGAAAGCATGATGCCTGTGATACTGAACTTAGTTTGTCGTCAGAGATTGTTTTAGGGTAACTTTGTCTTAAAGTCAAAAACTTATCGTTTTCGATTTTGCACCTCTTTTGCAGGTATTTTTACGTGAAATACCTTTTTTCGTAAAAATCAACTTAACAATTTACAGAGCAAGCATTTTCTGACTTGGGACACAGTTACCCCGACAGAGTCAAAATCAATGCAACTTAGGGTATGTTTTATGTTACTTTGTTACTTCTGTTCTGTTAATTTTTACGAATATTGCATAGTAATATTTGTGGATTACAACATGTTACAGTAAATTGTTCGAATTCCGCGAGGTATGCGTATTGACACACCATGAACGGAACAACGTCGATCACAACTTCAGAGGATCACCATCAACATCAGCAACAGCAGAACGATGTACCATCAGACCGTCCAAGAAGCCCTACTAGTCCGCTGAGTATTCGACACGGTAAGTAGTAATACACTATTACATGCTTTTGCAAATTTAAAAAATATTACGGAACAATGTTCAGTATTCAAAAATGTGCTTCCGCTACTGAACATTTTTTTTTAAATAATCGTAAAGAAGTAAAAAAGGGAGATTGTAAGCGTTCAAGAGTAGCGTCTTGTATACTTTGAAAGCAACGCGAGAATGTTTCGTATGTTTATATAAACAAGATATTGTTCTTAGATTTTTTGACAAGTGCACGCGCAAAAAGAATAAAACGAACGAAAATACCTATGGTATACAATGATAATACGATGTGAACTTATTTAAGATTAAAAGACAAACTGCACTCGAGTGCAGGAAGTTCAGTGTGCACGCAAGCAAAACATAACTGGATAAACATTTCTTAATGTTAGCAGTATCCACATAGCAACAAATTACGTATACTTTCTCCTGAAAATTTCTGAATTTTTGCATTTCATTATGAAGTACTGAATGAGAACCGTATTTACTGGTATCTGCGAAATAAAATCCTCAATTTGTTTCATCGAATGAAGTATACTCTAGTTTGTAAACTAAATTTGTATCAATTATTGTCTGAATCATAATTAGATTGCGGAATTCATGCATTTATAATAGATGTAACTGAGTAAAGGCATAGAATCTTTAGTAACGTGAAATGCATTTTCTCTTTTTTTACGAAAATCATTTATTCGCAACAAATTTCGATTCAATTCCAGTTCTTGTAAATTATTTGTTATTGTACACTTATTTGTATTTGTATCATAATGTATCATGATGTAGTCAAACCGAATATGATGAATGAAATAGTGAAGCGTCAATGAATGTAAAAATATTATTTCAAATGCTAATCATCTTGACAAAAGTTCACTTCGTCTGTTTACAGAAAGTGTCACGAAATTTGGTTCGATAAATGAAAATATTGTCGTTCAACAATATTCAAAGATAATAAAATTATCAGTATTTATTATTTAGACACAATGTTTAATGCATAAATGTTTATATCGTGTGTACATTTAAGAGACAGGGTATGCGTAAATTCACTCTGACGCACTTTTGTGTCAATTGTAGCTCTAGGGTCGTGTTGGAAAAAGGGGGATACAGCACGACCCAACGAAATTATGTTGTTAGAGTAATCGAATCTTGTCTGACCTAAAGAATTTATTAAATGAAAACAAAAAATCTTGCTACGTGAACAACGTGTTTGAATTAGGTGTCGCCAGGAATAAATCTTCGTTAAGATACTCTAAAACTATTTTAAAATGTTTTTAATATATTTTGACGGTGAAATTTGTCACTGTTTATTATCTTTTCAGACAATTCCTCTTTAATTTCAAAAGCGTTTATGTCGACATAACTCAAAATCCAATGCTATCCCAACAGAATTTCTTAGGTGTCTCTATTCAGGATTTATATTGCATTGTTGACTTATTTAAACCATAAAAATGGACACCATTTTCCGCCGCCATGGTACGACGCAATATACAATTCTAGCATCTCTTACATAAAAACATGAACTTCCTGGCTTTACTGTCGATTACGTAAGCACGAAGATAGTCACCCCATACTAAAAAATACAAATCGTATTCTTTGAACGTCCACCGTAGAATGCACTCCGCGATTTTGATTTTTTATGATCATTCCTCAGAGTTGGGCACAATTTTGTTCGAATAATACATAGTGAAACGCAACGGTATGTAAAAATGTAATCCTGAAGTTTAATCAGTCAATGAGATTAAGTAATTATTTGCTAAATGTCTACTCATTCCATGTTTAATCAAATAAAAATTTCGTAGTACCTCATTTTATCTTTTATTCGTTATTTGAAACTATTTAACTAAATAATGAATTTGTCATGTCATTACTATGGCAAATTCCTTTCCTGAAACATACTTACCATAAAAAAACATTCAGAAAAAGACTGATGATATAATCTACAGTAATCCACGATCGATGCATACACAATCTTCTTCGACCAATAATGAAAATACTGTACTTAACCCTCATGCACGGTTCAATAAGTATTTGCATTGCTATTCCTTGACTTAAACTTGGTCTAAACTAAAACCGGATTAAGGAGACTTTCTCATTAAACCAATCCAAACATAAATAATTTTTAAGATTCTGTCTGTACAAAAGTATACAACATATAGTAAAAAAAACGTTGCCTTTATTTTCCCATTCTTCAGATATGTGAACAAATGTTTTTCTTTTAAGTTCTTGTAGTGTTGCGATTTTTTAAATGTCGCCCAGTGCACTGCTGCAAAAAGAGAGGCGTTGAGAGTGGCTAACATTACTCGACGTAGGATTGCTTGAAATAAAAGAAAACCAAATTCTTATATGCTATATCAATGACTGTCGTAAACTACTGGTGTTAACTTAATTTCCAAATTACTCCGACGAAGAATGTAAGCAATGATTAAAGTCTGAGTTTAGATCGAATTGACCCGAACAATACACAATGGTTAAACAACAATACATCTTTTTTTCTTCAATAAAAAAACCACTTCATGCGTCAAAAACTATCACGGAACAGATGTTCAAAAACGAGAATCAGGTCGATATCAAATACAATCCCGGTCGTCGCCGGAATCACCGTATCTCCCTAATGCGGTAACAATTAGTCGCGAGTGGGCGGGGATGGCGAGAAGAGGAGGGTGACCAAAGTGGTCGCCGGTAGTTACGAAATCCCTTCTTTTTTTTTTCGAGCTTTTCGGCCTGCAGCATCCCCTTTCGCTGGTACGTCATTCCGTGCGACCCCACCGTGGTTCCTCGATGATCCCATAATACGGGGGCGCAGGTGGCGCCTCGCCATCCGCCAGCATTGATATGCTAATGAAATTTGACGCCCCTGCTTTCCCTGTCGGCCGTTATATACACACGCAGGACACTATATGTAGGCTCGGGGAGTTGGCGCGCGAATCCCAGGCGTCGGCCGGCCACCATACGGCCGTATAATTTTTTCGCCTCTCGTTTAACCCCTGGCAGTCGCGGCATTTCGCGAGCTTCCACTGAGATTTGATTACTCTAATGGCGTAACGTTGTCGCGTGTACGTGGCGGTGCGTCTCGCGACGACTATGGCCGTACGGTGAATTTATGGTCAACGATTGTCAGTCGGACCCTGTACATTCCCGAAATTGTACGATCGAACGTTATTAATAAATTCTTCCAATCCCGATAATGGAAAGTGATACGCAAATCGTAGACGATAAATTTGTTTCCCTTGATTTATAGGCGGTGAGAGTTGTGAGATTGTTTTATTTCGATAAAAGTACTGTCAGCGTGGAATTTGTGGAATTTATTATGATTGAACGTCTTGTTTATACACTGAACACTTTGGTACTGATTATGATTCTACGTAGAACGGAGGAAAACTGTTGTATAATAGTTTTATGCTTGTCAAGAAAATCTACGTCAGGATGTTGCTTTATGTAATTTCTATTTATCTTAGCAGCTACTGTAAAGTATTACTAAAACATAATACTATTACTCTTCGTCACAAAAAAATCTGCATCTAGTTTCTTTCGAAAGAAGAATATATTTCTGGACCTCTGAGTCTATTAAGTTACACTTTTCAAACTCTAGAGGAGAACATATGCAAAATGCAAAATGATTAGAACCGATCGGTAAGAATTTAACGAAAAACAATCACTATCTTCAAACAACTGAATGGACTTAAAACAAGTTCCGATATGTAGAAATCATGAACATTGCATTATGTCACTTATGTGATGGACTTTACACTGTAGGTATATCTCGGAACAAAACATGGACTTAATATCATTTCTACACTATTATACTGAAAACTAAACGACTTAAAACAAAATAATTTTTATCATCGGAAAGAGATTTAAAAAGTAGAGTCTGGAGTATAGATTTGTGTTACACAACTAAATATAGTCGTCTTAGTTGATTCTAAAAACGTGCACGTAATATTCATTTGTGACGACTCCTCGACGCCATTTTGAGAATTGATTTCACAGATCGTAATTTGTGCCTCTCTGTGCACGTTCGCCGGGATTAGGGTGTTAACGAGATCGAAAAGCCGACACGCTTAGGAACGTTACGTGAGTTGCATTAATAAGATCGTTCTGGTTTCATCCCCCGTGACTATAACGACGAAACGATACGATTCAATTCTTTCTGGTGAGTCTGGATCATACGCGGATTAGCCAGCGATTTGAACGTGCCCCACGGGCTAGATCGTTGATTATGATAAGAGATACGTACGTACCTCTTTATTTAATACGACAAAAACGTTTGAATTTTAAATCGAGGAAGATCACGTGCACGAAACTTTTATTACTTAAGCCGCAGTTACGTGTGCAATAGATAATCTTCAGTATTTGCAAGTAGAAATAGTAAGTAATGGCTGGACATCTCACAATCAGCCGTCGTATTCAGTAGTACGAATGCATAATGAATATTCAAAATCGATACTCTCTACAATGAAGATTCGAGTAAAACAATATCATCGACTATTGTTGTTTTACTTTTACAAAAAAAGGCACTTGCATTTCGAAATATTTTTACAACTTATTTGTAACAATTGCTTCCATGAATCCTTCTTAGTATTAGATTATCAACGTTTATGCAGATTTACGATTTTACAGACTAATTTACAAGAAGAGGGCTTAAACATAATTTATTTTTTAAGAAATATAAAATGAAAACGTTCTTAAAATCTATCAATTGTTCTTCTAGGAACGATACGATTAAATTAACACTAGAACTACTAAACCAGTCAATATTATTGGACACTACGTTAAAATGTTACAACAATACACTTTCTCAGATTGTTTGAAACTTTTATTACGATATTAAAGCGAAGAAATCAGTTAATGTACAAACTTGTAAATTTTAGAAAGTTCGTCATGTTTATCGATCGATCAAAGTAGATATACGTTATCGTCGGTAGTTCCAGTGTTAAGAACCAAATGACAATTCATGTAGCTTTGCTGAAGTTTCTGTTGCATTACAAATTGGAAAATTCGCGTATGATATACATGCATAAAATCCGCCACCAAGTAATATCTTTTGAGGGTTCGCCGGATTGGTTTCAGATAAGTCTATTGACTAGGGCACAGTAAAATTATTTTGCAGTGGGTTACGTGCCGGGACCCCTAACCCTCTGTATCGACCTGTTGTCGATTCGCATGGTAATTCGAACGGATCCTATCTGACCCCGTGGCATTAACGAGACCGGAACGAGTTTTCGATCGGGTACGAGGTAGTCGACAAATACGATTCCAGGGAGATCTCGCGCCTCGTCGGGGTTGGCAGCGTGACTAATAAACCCGGAGTGGAGAAGCGAAATCACATTTCGTTGATCACGCAGATGTTCGCCGGTCTACGATCTCTTTGTGCCCTCAGTGTCCAATTAATGTCATTAACGAAAGAAACTTATCGAAGGAATTTATTTTCCAGTTAACTGACCCCCTATTAGGTTGCTCTTTATCGTACTGAACATTATGTCAATTTATCTTACCTGGAAACATTTTACCCGTTCCACTTGAAGGATTTATGCTAGACTTTATTATTAAATAATTAATCCTTTAAGCGGGGAAAGAATTTTCGCCATGTAAACTATTTGACTATAAAAAACTGATCACAATATTCCAATTTTTAAACTTAACCGAACACAAAAGGTGTGTTTTTTTTTATAATATTATTCAAATAAATTTTGCACAAACGTACAAACCAAGGCGGATAGATCCCTTCTCTTCACTAAAAGGTTTAATATACAGTGGGTACAAATAGTATTTGTGCATACATTGTTTTTGTTAGGTACATTATTCCTTTTCTATAGGCAAATTGTTTGGGACTGATGACATGATTGTGTAGAGGCATTGGACATGATTTTGTAAGGGTTTCACTCGCTAGTTACACTGTTCTGTTTTGTCTCTTCTCTCTCGTTGACAGTTAGCTGTATGATACAATGGGGAATGAAGTTGTGTGTACGAAGAGGTTTACAAACCGTGATCATCAAAGTTAAGCGATCAGACTTCGTTAGTATATACTATAAATAAAAATAGGGGAATCATGTTATATAAATATAGAATCGGGAATACTTTGTTGAAAAGTTATGAGGAAAATGTTAAACAGGAAAGGAATGTTGGGATCATTCGTTCTGATTTGATCAAGCCTATTCAAACATATATAAGTATGCAAATACTTTTGTGTACTCACTGTACTCAAATACATCTGAGCGAAGAAATTCCAAAACATTTCCTTTTATAATCTCGAATGTTTTTATGGTGTCTGATTTTAAAATTGATATACAACTAAGATATATTTTTGAAAATTATGAATGTCATTAATTTAAGTGAATTGTAATCAGTAGGATTTTAAATAATTCATTCATCGTTTGACGAAGACTTCGGAGGGTTGGTACTGACATTAAATATCGAAAGTAAATCCTTCAATTAAAGCAGTTAATGGAACCAGAAGTAGAGAATACTTCAGGGGATGAATCAAGGGAAATATCATTTAATATTCCCCGTGATGGTATCTTCTAACTTTTGTCCTTCTTCTATTCCCTTCTGAAGATATTTATATACATATTTATGTTGTCTCATCTTTAGTTTCTACGGTTTTTCCGAACTCATTTCTCGATGTAAATACTGTTTGCCCTCTATTCAGTTACTAAGCCTTTAGGGACGCGTAAAAAAAGCCGCTTGTTCCATGGGGATAAAAATCGTCATAACTCGAATAGTGATTCCTTTTAAAAAATCCATCATTTCTATAACTTTCTCTTTCACTGAAATAATTTTCTTATATGACATACTGAATACCCATTTTATTATCATTTATATACAATATCTCTTCAATTGGTTATGTTTTATAATAACACAGAAGCAGAAACACGTGATATTATTTTGACAAGACATTTAAAAATATTAAATTGTGGGAAATATAATCTTGAACTATTTCTTAATCTGCTTTGATTTGTGACTATACGAACCACAGAGGTTTGTAACGAATAATTTTTTGTAATATTATTTACATGTATATCTTGACGTCGTAATCTCAATATTCCCTCAATCTCTAGTTACTGAAACATTAAAATTTTCCTTCCAATGTACTTCATACACCTTAGAATTTACATACAGAATATTGAACTGAAAATAAATATTCACCTTGACCATCAGTTTTCCCTCAACTAGTCGTATTTTATGAATGTTTATCGATACTCGCAAAGGATATTTATAATTATTCTGTATCAGCCATTCGATCGATCACAAATCTTACAAAGACCGGCCAGTTGGCTCGTAAATCCTTCACGGCGATCCCTAATACTACCTCCGAGCGTGCAATTATTTTATGCGTGAACATTGTATTCGTCGGCTCCGCCTCATGAGAATCAATCAAGAGCAGAGATTCTACTGTGCACCGTTTGGGGTTGGTCACATGGACCCACGAGAGAGATTTCTGGGATTAACAGAACGAAAACCGCCAGCTGATCGAAAACGGTGAATCAAGTTCGATCGTGAAGAAACTGTGCCTCCATCTCAAATCCAAAGTGTTCAATAGAAAACAATTCTTTTATTAATTAATTCCTTCTTACACATGTAGAAAACGGAAAAAGAATTTTTCAAAAAAGGAGTTCTCGGTTCCTTGTTGCCGACATTGATTAGACCAGAATGATGATTGATTGTTGTTATTGCAATGACATACTGGCTATTTAACGATGAGTAATTTCATTCAAAATTTCACTACTCTGACTGCACTTCTCGATAAGAATATTTCAGCCACAAATGCTTGCTGACGGAAACAAAAGCCGGATCCGACGCGAGTGCATCTGGTTAACAAAGTTTCGACAATTGTGAAAAGTCTGTTCACGCGATAAAGAAAATAATTCTTGAATCCGGACGTTAAGCTAGCAATACTTAATTTATATTCTCTTCAAGTGTCATTTCAAGGATCGTTAATTTTCAATAAGAAAATATTAAAATACATATAGGTACAACTAACAGCAGCGACAGTAGTCTTTATATTAACCAAACTATTATTTATTTTACACAACAATGATAAATGTAACCCGTAAAATTTTTGTTCTAAAATACTTCTCTGGGTATGCTTGTCGAACAGAAAAGTTCACAGAAAAACCATTTGCTTCCAGACTCGGGCGAGAGCAGCGTAATCTCCCCAGGCTTACCAGAACGCTACAGTCCTTTAGGGGCCACAGGCTCGACCTCTAGTCACGATCCTTACGCCTCGAGGTCGGTGCAGGAGTGCCCGGTCCCTCTTTGCCGAGGTATACCGACGGATTTCCCGCTGGCTCGGTCACCGTACTTAACCGCCCTGGGAAACGGTCATCCCCATTTGCTGGGACAGGTCCAGCAGCAGCACCCGCAACAGCAACAACAACAGCAACCGCAGCACGGCAGCAAACCGCCGCGCAGCCTCGGTTTGATATGCGTGGTCTGCGGCGACACCAGTTCCGGTAAACATTACGGGATTCTGGCCTGTAACGGGTGCAGCGGCTTCTTCAAAAGAAGCGTCCGACGGAAGCTCATATACAGGTGAGTCTAGATCACATCTTGTTATACTCCTCACCAAGATATAGCAGGGTCGTAATCGTTCAAGCGAAAAAGAACACGCGTTTCGAGGATCATGACATCCATTTAGGAGATCAAAGGGGAGATAAGGCGCTCGACCGACAATGTCGATTCAGATTCTAAATACTTCTGAATTGTTTATTGTTTAAGACAGCCTAGAAAAAGTTAACGTTCATTCAAATATTTCAAATATTAAACAGAATTTACAACTTTTTCTGTATTATGCATGGGACCATACAGCTGCTAACCGCACACGGAACTCTGCGCGGCGCTATCAATAGATGTCGCCATTTAACGTGATAATTTACGACCACGGTATATCTTGGAGAGGAGGACTATACCTCCTGGGTCCAAGTTAACCCTGGAAAAGATCCAACATGGGGTGTTCTTGTTACTATTTCTGTCCTCCGTTCTAAGGTCGATATTAATATCATCAGAGTATGTCGAAGAGGTCGGGAATAAGGGGTGGTAATCAGAAAAATGGCGAAAAAGAGTGTTGCGTTTCGTCTTAGAACCAACAGGAAGACTCATCAGCAGGGCTATACCTGGTGGTCCCTGCCTTAGACGTATGGGAGCAGAGGATGTATTTGGGACGTGTACATTAATTAATATAGAAGCGAGCACGTAAGGAAATAGTAGACCTCCGTCGGTGGATCCACGACCTCACGTGACAATCTTCATAACTTCAATTTCCAAGCTGAATCGGAAACAGATCTTGTCACCTTTTGGAAAGCTCTTCTTTCGTAACTCCCAACGGTCCCTGGGAATACAGACCTCGAAAAATCTTAGCAGAGCCCAAAGAAGCTTCCCTTTCGATGACGGTTTGCATGCCGGTCACGCGTACAAAACGGACCAGCACGGCGGCAGCTCTCCAGCAGAATTTATTTTTCAAAGAGCGTTTCGCGGGGGGTTAATAATTTGTACATCGAGTCCTGTATCTCCTCGAGAGGCTTAACCCGCACACCTACGGCGTCTGTTATCGATAGTCACGTACACGTAGTCAAAGGGATACCACGCACACTGGTACGAACGGCTGGCGGGCGTATGTGGCCCAGCGTAAAACGGATCGAGCGTATCAGACAGCGATTCCGAGTTGAGAGGGATCCGATGGAGATGGATGGCCGTTCCCAGGGGATGGTAATAGTATGCCGTATACACGGAGCCGTGCCGGGTTAGGTGGATAGGTCCTCCAGGGTTCAACATTATGCCGTTCCGCATTGTTGCCTGGTATTACGATGAGCCCACTCGACTTGGACCACATGGCGCCACTGGCTGGCCGGTTTGACATTAAACGCCATAGGAGGATCGGTTGACTAATTTCGATTTGATATAAGACCGAGCTTCTGGTCTCTTGCGGGGCTTTTTCAGATAGTTTTTGAATTAATCTCTATAGAGGATGCAGTGGTACTGATGATACGAATGTAGGCTGATTTCTTATGTAAAAGTAAGTCGATATTGTGGAATATGTTTCTTTTCCACGCGAAGCTTGGAACATATTTTCGACTGTCATTAGGGTTTGAAATAAGTAGAAACGGTACGAAAGAAATAGACACAGCAATCGAGCCGTATTAACCCCTCGAGCAAGTAGTTATGCACTGACAAATTTATGGTGCAAGTAGTTATTAATTTAGAGGAATTCATTGTTCCGCAGTGATTTTTTTAACGTTTCATGATATTAATATAACATGAATAATCAATTTAATATATTCATTTCATATATTTACCAAGCAATAACTTTATCCGATATACATACTATATCTCGTTTTTAGTATTCTATTTGTTCATATTGATGATTGCTAAAATTCAAATAATTCATTTGGTAGTCAAATTATTGCGTGAACTAAACCCTGAGACAGTTTGTAACATTAGAAAATTTGAAAATAATAACAATAACGCGCTTTTCCCTATTTTAAAGCATCGAAAAGTTAATGAACACAATGCTGCTGGCATTATCTTAAATAACACGCGAATTTAACTATTACCCAACCCTTACTTCCTTGAAAATAAAGACTTGAATAAAAAGAGAACTACATTTTATCCATTTCATTATTTCCGTTTATTATCATGAACAATACCGTACCCTATACTATAAACTTCTCTTAATACAATAGAAAATAAAATCTATATAAAATACTGTTCACCGTTGCAGTATTGAATCAATATAAAAATGAACTGAAGATCAAATACTATACCTTTACGTTGCCACGATCTAACATCATGTCCCGTTTAACGCGTGTTCATTCTTCGCTACCAGCTATTGTCGAACATTGTCGAATGGCCGTAACGCGGTAAAAAGTGAAGAGCCTCCGCACAGATAACCAATTACTCGTAGAGGGGGAACGGATCGCGACAGATGCGCCCCGACGTGATGCGCCGCGGAGGCGCATCGACCATAATCGTCGGATTACAGTCCAACTTCACGGATCGGTTAGATGCAATTAAATAGATCGTGCATAGTCCAGATTGTGTCGAGTGTTCGCACCAGTCCCCATCGGGCCACACTCGAATTTCGCGCGCAATGAATCAGCTTACCTCTCCACGATTGATAGACGAATGTTTCTCTAATAAGACTTCGATGACGGATTTCTCTTCAGATTACGAACCGTATTAGATGCAAACTAATCCAATACTGACTTGGCCTTCTGAATGGGATACAAAAGAATAATGTGTACTTAATAATCTGTCTGTATAGAGTTTAATTTTTAATGCAGTTTTAGGAGATATTCATTAGCTGTACAGTAATTTAGATATAAATTTTGAGATAAACCATAAATAACAGCTACGATTGTTTTTACTGTAATTCTTAAACCTATGCTGTCCTATATTATTCCAATACACGTTTCGAATTTTAGTGATCCTCGATATGTAAAGAACATAAATAGTATCAATACTTCAGTGTTGTAAATATACCATCCAATTAAAGTATTAAAATTTAGTTAAGTTACATATTAGTATGCAAGTGTCTGTGTAGAAGCCCTAGAATACTCTGAACCGCAAAGGGTTAACGCATCTTCACTAAATCTTTCCAGTCATTGAATCGCTTGTTCTTCTTTTCTACAGTTTGTCCCAACAACTAAGCTTCTATTTATAATACAGTCCCATCTATAACTTCGCTACAATGATTACAATTCTCCACCATCGACTATACTTCTTTGGCGAAACGAACGACCTTGCATCCCCACGCAGAGATCTCGTCGGACCTTCTTGATAGCAGAGGGGTTAAGTCATTGAATCGATCGCTCTTCTTTTCTACAGTTTGTCCCAACAACTAACCTTCCATTTATAATACAGTCCTATCTATAACTTCCCTACAATGATTACAATTCTTCACCATCGACTATATATATAATTCCATTTATAATACAGTCCCATCTATAACTTCGCTACAATGATTACAATTCTTCACCATCGACTATACTTCTTTGGCGAAACGAACGACCTTGCATCCCCACGCAGAGATCTCGTCGGACCTTCTTGATCGCTGAGTAGGGAGTTAAGTCATCGAATCGTCCAGGGCCGCGATCGACGGGCGTGATAACAGGCAGCACATGTTTCCGGTAACTCGATGAAGCAAACAATGCCGTCCGGCCGAAGAATAGAGAGATGCGTAAATAAATGTATGATGTGGTTCTGAAGGGTGAATACCGGGGGGTGTAGTACGAGGGTGATGTATCCCTTCGTGTTGCACCAGGAGAACCGCGGCGGGGAGGCCTACCAAGCTCCCGTGGAAGGTTCGCTGGGGTGTGAACGCAAATCAATTTGCGAGTGGAACCCCGCTGGCAAGACAGCACGCCAGCCACCCTTCGGTGCCCTTCGTACTCCACCGCCTCGGGACAAGATAGTTCGAGGACGGTAGTGTCCTTTCATCGCACGGACTGCATCGGGCCGCCTCCTTGTGAGTGACGTTAGTTAAAATCGCGCTAACGGAACATTCGCCGGGAATCGATCGACATCCCCGGCCGAACGATCGAGCCTCGGGCTATTACTCCTGAATCACAGCTCTGGCCGATTCTTTCACTCTTTTTTCACTTGCATCAGGTACTGTGAGAATTGTTGACTCTTTATTTTCTTAGATCCTGAAAGGCTTGTTCTGGTTGTTATCATTTGTAAGAAGACTTCTGTAATTTATAAATTGCAAGCGTTTGTATAGGGATCTATGGTCTTTTAGTTTAGGATGATTCATTAATAGCGGAGTCTATTTTAGTTAACTCTATATTTAGTCTTTCTCTTTTTTCTTTTAATCCATCAACTGCTATAAACGCTTAAGTCTTAATTTTCTCGGGTGAATTTTTGTTCTGTTTGGTATTATTTGCGGTGAGACTTCCGTAATTGATATATCGTGAGAATTTGTGTGGAAATTTATGATTTTTTAGTTTAAATCGATTCTTCGATAGAGGCTTCTACTGCGACACATATTTTCGAGACCCTCATTTAACTTTTTCGTTTGTGAAAACTAGATTGTGAATTTTATGTATTTATGGTACACAGAAACGTGTGAAGCACAGTTACATCGTAACGTTAACACTTCCATTGCAAAGAGGCTGGCGTATTTAAATACCGTTACAATATTTTCGTGTTAAATGAATATCGTAGTATAATTTAAGACAAGACCAACGGCATAAATGCATCTATTTCCCACGATTTATGGCTGAAAAAAACGAAATGAAGTGTGTCTGGTTACGTATGGCTTTCTTCACTGTGGCAGTCAATGTGTTAAATGGAGGCTTTATTTTAATTTTAACTTAATGAATTCCTTGATCGGCAATACACATTTTCTTATTAATTGAATTTACCAAAATGGTCTCTGTCTAATAATAACTCAATTATGCCAAAGATTATTCGTTTGACACAATAGGGAGACACGCGTATCTCAAACAAATATGTTCTGAAATTCATTTAGAATGACTTGTTAGGTTCGAAAGAGACTGAAGAGATACCTTGGCCAATAATATCCACCTTTTGATACTAAAGGGCTGACAATTGTGTACTGTTTGAAACACTTATATTATATGATATGGGAATGTGCAAGATACAACATAACAAGGACTTAATTAAAACATAAGTTCTTATTTTACTTCTTTCATCTCGAAATTCTAAATGCAAGATACAAAGCTGTGTACAATTCTTGTTTGTCTAGAACGGTCTTCAAAGAATTCATGAAAATTGTGACATGTTATTTAACAGATGAATATTCATAAAAATTTCAGCATAGCATAAACAAATATTATTTAAATGTATAATTCGACTATTATTCTTGTTACATCTTATGAGCATTACCTATTGTATATGTATATTTTATTATTTGACGATTATTATACGATATTCATCGATTAAAGATAAAATTTTATTGTAAACTAAACACAGCATTAAAAATATAGCCATAAAAATAATAATTAAACAATTTTCATGAATAAATTATCTGAATAGAATAAATGGAAACCGAGAAACTCGCGTTCTAGTGGATAAATTCTGCTCGATAATTTCTGTGTCGAATGCTCGATGGCGGAATAGCGGAAAGGAAAAGAGGAAGGCGGCTTAAAGTCCCTAAGAAACGAAGTACCACGGAGACTACCGCGGGATTGGATGAAATTAAGAGGGATAAGAAGGTACGTGACCTCGGCACCGTCGCCTCTTTACGTTAGTCAGCTTGAGGGGATAACCAGGTTAGCCGAACAATGAAAGTAATCGAATTTAACGCCAACTCCTGAGTGTGCAGCCAGGATTTCCGGCAAGTGCGCTCGAAATTTCTCGCCTTTCCGAAAAGGGACGAGAGACACCAAGTTACCGTCGTCGGTGAAACGTCATCGTTGACGATCGATCGATTCCGACGAGGAGAGAAACTTTTACCGATCGATAACGAGCAACTGGAAACCTTGTATTCCAGAAGAACTTAGATGAATTTCAAATTGTAATTTCTTATTGGATGAATCCACCTTTGTATGGGATGGACGTTACAGGACGTGGCTAAAATTCTAAGAATAAAAATTGAAGAAAGTCTACTTATTTATTTATATACGGGTATATAACCGTTTAGTATACAATCCAGTTAGAATTAGTCAATTGTAGACAACAATGTGTTGTACATTGTATGCCTAAAAGAGGCTTGGAAACTAAAGAAGTCCAGCGATTTACATAATTTATTGACATTCACAATTATACGGTTAATACACTTATATTGACTATAATTTGTGTGATGGGCCTCCCGAAATAGTAGGACGTGATTTCTTCTAGATGACGCTGACGTTATCAACATAAAGTGAGATAGGATATCAGGGCAAACGATGACGCCATTAAGCACCTCATGTGCTAATAGTAAGTCAAATGGAATACTTCTGCGTTCTAGAGACTATAATTTTTATTGATTGTATATATAAAAGAAATCGTGGTCGTAAATCGATATTGGACGACTCATTCGATGAGCAGCTAAACGCAAAAATCGATGCTGTGTACTCTGTTGTTATTAAAATATTAATTTTATATGACAATGGAAAGCTTGTGTCGTGCGAAGGTTCTTAATGTTTGGAACCTTCTTCTATGTTTCGAAATATTTTATGTTCAGATGTCAAGCCGGTACCGGAAGATGTGTCGTGGATAAAGCTCACCGAAATCAGTGTCAAGCGTGTCGTCTGAAGAAATGCATGCAGATGGGAATGAATAAAGACGGTGAGTAATTACATTTGAAGTTTACGGGAGGATTTTATACCATTCCACGGAAAATTGTTCATCCTTTCTTTTCTTACTTCGTATTCTTTCTCATTTATCCATTTTAAGGAATATTGTTAATCAAGAAATTAGAGAACAAAAATTGAAGGGTTGTTCAACACATTTGGGATGACTTCTCTTTCAAATTGCTATATTTAAAGGTAACAGATATTAAAAAAATTATGCCTTATGCTTACTATGCGTCTACTATTGAAATTAATCTATTAAACGATGAAGTTATTCGAAATGTTCGGATACATACGACAAGCATATATCTGAATTTTCAAGTTAAGAACCAGTTTAGAAAGAATTATTAAACTCCTTTATCTTAAACAACTATCAGACAGCATTTATATTGAATAAAATGATGTTTCATCAGCGGAAGAAATTTGTTTTAAATAGAAACAATTTTTTTTTGTTCTGTTACGTTTTAAAGAACATGTCTTTTCCACTTCATGGATGTCATACGGTGAGCATAAATCAACTTCTTTCTACTGGAATATACAAATTGATTGTTTCTAACGATTCTACACGAACATCAAGGAAAATTACTGTATACGATATCTATAAATATTTTCAATCTGAAAATAATGAAATAAGGGGAACAATGATTCCTCTTCAAAAGAGTGATAAAACGAAATTTGGAGTATCTACCAAGTATAACTATTGTATTTACGCGTTTCATAATTACTAATTATTTTTTTTCATAGTAAAAATTTTAGAAGAAGAATACTAAAGACTTAACACTAGACCTACCGAACCCTTCAAAATGACGGATTCCAGATTTTCTATTTTACAATTATTGAAATCCTAGAGATACTTTCGGAATTTATGTTAACCTCGAATTTCTTATACACTTCATATAACAGCATACCAAGCTATATATTGCATTGTATATTACACGTATTAATATATTACACAATTTAACTTAGCATACATTCAATGCTGGTAGTTCTAGTACTAAGCCTTCTGTTATGATACATCAATCCGTAATACGCACTGCAAAAACATCCACCATACCAAAAGTAGAAGAAATTTTCACAATCACCTCTTGCTAGAAAACTGAAAAATATCTGATTCGAGGGTCACCCACTTTCTGATAAGTTGAAGCCCTCGCTTCTTCAGCTCGATGGACAAATCTCCTTCCTTCGCAAGAAGGAAATATCTATTTCAGTGTTCGTGGGTGGCGTCGTTCCTGGGACACCGGTTATCGATACATTAGATTACCCGTTGTCGCAGGTAAACCCGTATTGTGGGAATCAATCAAGGCTCCCGCGTCCCCTCCCCTCGTGACCGGGGACGAACGGAAATTCGAGCGAGGGGCCTTTATGCTCGCGACATAAATAACTGGATAAAGGGCTGGGGTGATTGGTGCAGGGTAGAAGTCTGCTTCTGTGGTAGCGTGTTCGATTCAACTCTTAATGCCTCTCAGCCAACCGTGGGCGCACCTGCCACGGCAAAAGAGCATTTCCCTCGTGTCGCCGTTTCTTCTCTTCTTCTTCTGCTTCTTCTTCCTCCCTCGTGAAAACTCCTCCAGGAATCCGGGAACTTTCTTATTGCCGAACTTGACGTCGTAAGAAGAAATACTTCCAATTGGATCCCGGTTCCCTTGACGACCGGGACGACGATGTTTCTATGGAACGTCGCTTCTTCCCGGGGAATTAGATTCTCGAGTGTCGGGAGTTACGTTCGACGCTGACAAAGCTGAACGATCTTCTTTCGGCGACGAGATTTCGATTACTTACAGATTCCGTCTCGTGATTTCTATCGCTATTTGTTAATTGTTAAGGGTAATTTGTAGGAATTCGCGAACAGCCTGCATCTTGTGAGTAGACTGCGGATTTTATGCATTTATTGCATACGTGTATGTATCAGACTTTAATAATACTTATTGTTAGTACATGTATTGATATATTTCCAATGCAATGGAACCATCGATGTAGAAAGTCAGTCTCTGCTTATGTCGGGTTTTCTAAAATTCATCTACAAAAGTTTGAATTTGCATAAACATCCGCAGTGTACTTACGAGTACTGTAATTGGTTGGATAGTAGGTGCAAGTCGAATTTTATCACGAAGATTGTAGATCCGAGATATTTCGAATAGATGCAGATCTCTGCACGTTCGTTCACCATCTTATGCGAGGCGTACCATTCAACTAGTTCATCTGAATCACTTTCTCTGTTGTGTCAGGTTTAAAAATTTCAAGGTTTATAGGTTTCTTCTTCAAGGTACACAAATTTTTTTCTACGAAAATTGCTGTTAGTATCATTTAACGAAAGATTTCAAAGGAAATTCAGGGTTCAAGTTTACCAGTCGAACGACGGATAGTCGGACAGCAAGACGGGAGACGGAGTCGGCTCGCTTTTAATTTTAAATAACACTATATTTAAAAATACAGCATTCCTTTATACAAAGTATGCAATATAAATATAACTGTACTACGCAATATATATTTACACAACTTACAATTATTAGACGTGATGATGTTTTCTAGTCAACGTAGGAAAAATTGCATCAAATCGAAGATGAAACAGAGTACCATATTCATATTATCATCGCTTTCGTTTACACGATGTTGGAGGATGTTCCCTATACGAGATGTTCCAACTAAAAATATAGTTAAAGTCTGTACCATGGTTGGGCACAATTTCATTCTAATAATACGTAGCAAAAATAATATGTACTGTCTAAGAGCGTCATTCTGACCTTTAAACTGTTAATAACAAAAAATGACGCTAAATGTCTACTCATTCAAGAAGTACTATTTTATTATTAAAATTAAAGTTCTCCATGTTTAATCAATGAAAAATGGCGAAGTGCCTTTTTTCTATCTTTTATTCGAAATTCTTTATCTGCATAATCAATTTTCCCATCTCTGATCCGGAGTAAAGCTGTTTGCCTCAGTTTCATTGCTCCTTGACCTAAGTAGATATCTTATAACAAAGACAGCGGATTTTTATACAAAACGACATTTTATCAAATAATTCATAAAGACCAAATGCATGAATTTCTTTCTTCCTTTACATACCTGATTAAGGTCAGAATAAAATAGAAAACTCGTTAAATCTAATGGAAGTTTTGTCTTTTATTGTATTTCACAAATATAAATGTAGACTATAAATGCATCAAATCCGCAGTCTACTTACGATAATAACAGAATACAGGTCAGAATTGATCTACCTTCGTCGGCGAGCTGTTAAAAATGAAAAGCGTTTATACAGAAGCGTTACAATTACCCCAAAGATAAAACGGAGCCGCCTATGCCGGCATATCCAGCTTCAAACGTGGAATCATTACACAAGCCGTTCCACGCAGAATTACCGCGGTTATTACGGTCGTTTAATGAAAATCGGTAACCGGGGCGGCGAGGCATAAAGTAACAGCGCGCGTCGATTTGGCGGCTTTGCCGCATGCGGGGCCGATGCGGTTCGCCGCGGCAGGCGAAACGACGCTCGGCGTCGTAAACACCGCGGTCGTTAGCGACGGTCGCGTGGCCCTCGACGAGCCCCGAAGGGTTAATTGGGGGAAATAAACGTATGCAACGTGCGCCCAATCCGTGGACGCGAAAATCTCCGTACACCAGTCGATGTCTCTTTCGTCCTTTTTTTTTTCTCTCGCGAAGGACAGACACATGAAGTACATCGGAGGAGAGACAGAGAGAGAAAGAACGCACTCGTATATGAATTGTGTCATAACGGTGTGTCAGACAGAGATGGTGATGCAGAGAGCGAGAGAGAAAGAGAGAGAACGAACGAGATGTCGGAAGAAGCAAAGTGAAAAAGGGAGGCAGACCTCCCACGGTGAGCTTCACGCAAATGAGTGTGAAACGATCTGTAAAAGGGCGTTTATCTCTCCCGGTGTGAAACTGGACGGCGGAGACATGAAAATAATGGGAAGGGTTCGGACAGGCAGCTAGAAGTCTTTATTCATCCAGCGAAAAGAATTAACGATTGTTTTTTAGGGACATTAAGAGGATGGACTGTTACCCTTTTAGAGCAGATTTTCGATTACTTGGATACCAGATCGATGCTTGTTTTATTTTAATCTCCTTGATTTATGAGCGAATTAATTCTTTGGATATCAATAATTGTTTCGAGTATCTTGGATGAAAGTTATGAATATAATTTCGAAGGAATACTGCGGGGGCTGCGTTATTAACACTAGAACTATTAACGAGAAACGTATACCTATTTCTATCGGATGGATAAGTATGACAAACTTTTGAAAATATAAAAATTTAAAAGTTAACTAATTCCTTCACTTTTATATTGCAATAAAAGTTAAATTGTTACAACATTTTAATCGTCATTGCAAGAGTAGGTATACCAGCCAGTCATTTTGACTGTGTCGGTAGTTCTACCGTTAAGTAACGTATACATAGAATCGGATACAATCGCTAGAAATACTGTAATACCTCGATACTCGACCAACTGTCGTCGAGCTGTATCCCAATGACTAGATAACGTCGCCGAGCAATTGCATACTGATTTCATTTATTCGAGCAACTGTTGGTAGGCAAAGAGCTAACCCTTTCGCTACGGTCCAGTTGGCCGCCAGTATGCAACCACTGTACGGGACAGTTGAATTGCGAGATTATGCTCTGCCGCAAACAGTATAACATCTGCTTAATTAGTGCATGTACCTAGTTACCGTAATTAATTAAATTTTAGTAAATTCTTAACCAAATGAAATTTTGACGGTTGATTATTATAGTCACATTTAGTACGCAACTAGTGCTCGACGTCGTATGAATATAGTCACGCTTATTGTTAATAAGAAAAGGGTTAAACAGAATATATCTGTCGCGTGTTTTCCTCTCAGAGTGTTTAATTTAATGCATAGTTTATTTCTAATCAATGAATAATTCAAAAATACCTGTATTTTAACCTACAGTCATTCAACTGTCGTCATACAATGTTCCCAGCAATTGTATCCCATTTGATACGCTAGTTTGATAATCGAGTAATTTCAAATATTTCAAATTCAGTATTATTCAAGTTGCAAGCAATCATTCACGAACGATTAAATGCCTTCAAGACATTCTGATAATGGAACAAATACTATTATTGACAACTCAGAATACTAGTACAATAAATGAAATTAGTGTTATGTTAATTCCATTCGACCTATTATTACATTTTATTCCTCTTCTTTCCTCTTATTCTCAAAGAAAATAAAAAGTAGCTTGCTCTTATACGCGTCTGATTTTCGAAGAAAAAAGAAACTCGTACAGTTTAACAGATAATTGCGAGGTGACCATAAAATCAAGCGAACAAACTACCAAGCGGACTGAAGAGTTAAAAAGACAAAAGGGAAAGCACGAGAGTGCCGGTAACAACGGGGAAGAAAAGTTTTTCCCGGCAGAAAAGTGTATACGCGCGGCAGGGCGTTTATCTTTCCCCGACGGCGACGTCGCGGCGGCGGGGTAAACGGTGAGAAAAAGTGCGAGAACGGGGTTGAAGGGAGCAAAGGAAGGGAAGAAACCGCGTGAAAAAGGGAGACGCCGATGCCAAAGGCTTGACGAAGTAGGAGGATCCTATTAAGCCGCTCAGCAGGCAGCACGACGCTGGTAAAGCGAGCCGCGGCACGCTTTTTATTATTACGAAATTACCGCGCACCCGTGGCCGCACGGTAAAAGGGAAGCCCGGAAAAAAATTCTGCTCGCTGTTACACACCAATGAGTGCCCTAATCGTAGCCGCCATTAACATGCGGCTGACGTCAGGGCGACCGTTTTTCGCGGACGAGACCGTCTTCGCGAGAGTTGAATCTATGACACTGACAGTCAACGATACTTTGTGACTTTACTTCGATTAGTCTTTGGGCATGTTTACACGTTCAAATAATTTGGCCATGTGCATTCACATTTGCGCGAGCAAATCGTTTCATTTCAATAGAAGCTAACCGGCCGGGCAAATAATTAACAATAATTTTCTTATTATTTAATTTGTAAGAATTAGTTATAGTTATAGTTGATTCTTTATGTGTATATAAAATAACTGTGCGAGGTAGACTGAAGGTGTAATGCACAAATCAGTTTGCACAAATTATTTCAAGTGTGAACGGGCCTTTAGTCTTTCACTTTGAATCTTATTCGTGAGTTCTGTCGTTTTAGGTGATCCACTCGATGGTGTACGAATTAAATTACTGTGAAATGAATTATTGTAGCATTTTGGATCTCAATAATGTGATTATTTTGCAGCACAATGTATTGGATTGGTGCGTATGAAATGTCGTTTTCATGAATGAAACTTTAACCATATGTAGTTTCCTGAAAACTACTTAACCGCTGTTTCTCTTATTGTTTGTCGTGGATTATTTTCGAGAATATCTCTTAAAACATTATTCTTGATGACATTTTCTGACGTTCCGTTTGATTTATTTTCTAATGAAACATTACCAGCCTTGAACTGTCTTAACATTTACATAGCCTAACCACAAATACTACCTACAATGGTTTCAACAAATTTTGTAGCATTTATGCCACTATTTAAGCCAAGTTAAATTATTTATGAAGGCTGATAATGAGATTTCAATATTTTTATTGTATATCTTGCTAGTATTTAAACACATTCATTGTAGCGAATTTCTTCTTCTTTATGATTTAATACAATAGGAGGTCGGACAAAATTTCATGGCTGTAACGGGCCTGGTAAAAAATAACTTAATTATTTTGAAATTAATTATGAGTAACAAGTTAGATACCAACGTAAACAAATATATAAGGAACCTTTTGTTTAGTATCACAACAAAAATTTCTACAAGGAGGGGAAAACACAGATAGCATATTTTTTATTTCCAACTGTTTGCCCCGAAAACATACAGGGCCACCGAATATCTGTGGAATAACTTATTGCAGGTTGTAATATTGACTTCTTAGTTAGTCATAAGTTTCAGGAAACACCTTTTCACTTCACACGGCTGTACAAACATTTCACAGTGGTCTTGCCTGCTGTCACATTCGTGCATCAAAATTGAATATTACATTCTTCCTTTAATTGACGATATATATATTAAGTGTATTAATAAATTTAGTATAAGTTCCTATCGAAGTCTATGGTGCTTAATTTATATTCATAATAATATTTAAAGATTTTACACACTTTTCACTCAATGAAGTTTAGGACAGATATTTCTAATTGAAAATACATTGTCCCATAATAGAAAAACATAGTGGATAATTTATTCGTCCACTTCATGCACACGGTGAATGTAACAAACAAACACTACGATCTTGTATCATTTACAACTTAATTGTCAATTAAAAGTTAAACAGCTGTGTATGAATACTTTTATCTGCCGAAAGTGTTAAAAGGTAAAAAGGTAAAAAAGTAGTTCGTCATTCTTAATCAATTAAACGTGGAAATCACAATTTTTAGAGTAAAATAATACTTCTTGAATGCGTAGACACTTGGCAAACAGTTATTTAATCTCACTAACAGTTTAAAGGTCGGGATGACGCTCTATAAATACTACTGCTTTTCATTATGTATTATTCGAAGAAAATGTTATCCAATTCTGACCGATAGCAACAAAGAGCACGCCCGAAACGAAACACGTGCTCCCGGAGTAAAGAAACTAATATAAACCTCACGAGACCCATGGGGTACGTAAGGTCACTCCAGAAGAGGATACCGTTCCGATTTAGCTGTCCCACCGAATAGGAGTTTATCGAACAGGAATATACATGTACAAACAATAAACGTGGCTGATTCCTGCACGTCTGTTAAATTTACGCTTGTCAGACGCAGGCCCTCGGCGTGATATAACAGCGCGTTACGTGAGTTTGACGAGAGGGTGGCGGCCAATCGTTTGTTCTTCGATTAATCGAGCAAGACTCCTCGGGCCAAGTCGTTCTACTAATATTTCAATAACCAAGAAACTCCCCGGGGTTTCGATTATCTACGCAGCGAACGTATTATCGTCGAATATTCCGTGGGACGGTTGTCGGCAGCCAGCGTTCGCTCGGTCGATTGCCTCATCTGACTGGTCGTTTTGTTCCCAACCCCTGAAATCATCCGAAATTTTCGCCGCTCGAACGGAGTCGGCTGCCTGCATAATATTTTAGGAACGTTACTCAATATTATATCGTTATTACTGTCTATCGGGTGAATCTCTTAAGAGTCGCAATTACATAAAGTTAAGGTGTATCATTAAGAAAGAACACTTTTGAGTAGTGAGTTAGTAGAATGATTCTTTATTTAAGATGATACATTTTCAATACGCAGAATGTCATTGCATTCACAGTGCAAGCTGATAACGGACAATTTTATATGAAAATTAATTTAAGAGAAAATTAATAAATTATAATTTCATAGGATGTTACATACATTCCCCCTCATAAGTATTCGGGCATTTATCAAATATGCATTTAATGTTACAAGGCATTACGAAATTGCAGTAAGTCTGAAATAAATATTGTTTACAGCAGAGTTTCCATTATGCACTACGGCCATGTACGCTGACAAAAATCACGATACGCTCTTCAGTTACTTCGCTGTTTAAATCATTGCATTGAAGATATAATTTTGTATATAGAAAAATAAAATAGAATTCACATAATATTTATCTAAACCTATACTTTGTCATTGTTTAAAATGTTGTATTTAATAATTTACGAATGACGGATATAGCCGGCATTAGTATCCATAGATCACAGATAGCGGCTATGGTCGGCGTTAGGGACGAAAGGGTTGGGTTACTATAAATTAATGAAAGCGGCCTATAATGTACAATATTTAGGAAACATCACACTTTCTTCATACAGACCAGGTGCCCTAATACTTATGAGCGCCAGTGTACCTGCCCTGTGTCTATTAAATTATTTCTTAACACCTATTTTGCATAAAATTCTTGAGAAATATTTATTAAATACTTTCCCTAAACAATTTCTGTATACCTTCAATTTTTTATAATATAAAAACAGGAATTCAAGTTTCCTCAACGAATGTTTTTGAAATACAAAATTCAGTATCAGAAGATAAACATTTCAAGAAATACTCATTGAATACTTGCCTATACAATTTTTTTACTCCCTCCATTTTCCATAATAGTGAAACAGTAATTTAAGTTTCTTCTACGAGGTTTTAAATTTCTAAATTCAGTATATCGGAAGATAAAACTTTCAAAAAAGTACTGATGAAAATGTTAATAAAAGTTGAATCGATTTCATGTATTCTCTCGTGCATTTAATAAAGCATTAATCGTTTCGTGTCATTCACCGAATTCCGAAAGACATTACCGCGAATAACAATGGCACGTGCGCGAGGCGGCGCACGGGAATGGTCCGCGTTAATTTACCAGCCTGTAATTAATTCGTGGCTGCAATTAACGCCTGTTATCGACGTTACATCGAAGGTGTGCGCTTCTGTTGCAGCCGTGCAGAATGAACGGCAACCCAGAAACACTGCCACCATCAGACCGGAGGCTCTCGTTGAGATGGACCAGGAGCGCGCGCTTCGGGAGGCAGCGGTGGCCGTCGGTGTTTTTGGGTGAGTTTCTTTCATTCCTGTTTCTTTTTTTGCATTTTTAGAGCTGCCAAAATTTACCAGCGTCAATTATCAATACGAAACCGTGGTGGTAAATAAATCTAAATATTGTGCGAATAGAAAGATATTGAAGACAATAATGAATCAAATAAATGTCCACGATTTATTACACGAATATACAACTTTGTATCATTATTAAATTAGAAAAGTATACGTGTGAGGTATGTCAGTTCTATTAGTGCAATATGTAGTATAAATTCCTAGGTACATAACTAGTTCTTCAGAGACAATTTTTCCTCCACTCACTACTCTAAGTACTCATTTCATATAGCGAATAAAAAAGGAAGATATTTATTTTTATATTAATATTATACTTTAATAAAGAAAATTTTCTTATTTTCATCAAGGTCAGTGAAAACATTCTTTACGAATGCGTCGTATTCTCAGATATTAATTTTCACTAAAGATGTTTAGTTCTTTTTGACCACGTACTTTTTGCCAGAGCTAGTAGTACTTATTGTTTAACCCTTTCATTACCAATGGGACACGTGTATCGCATTAGGTAGATAAAACAATTCTGGTAGGAAATTTTATAGACGACACACCTAGTTATATTCCATCCCACTGGTACCGTGATCTTTGCTGAACCTTTTGTAGGACATGTGTTCTATGCATCCTTGTCAATCCTTTTAATAATCAAAACTTAGATATAGTGTTTACTAAATTTTCAAGATGGCACTGAGTCTATATAACGTGTTATTAGTAATCTACGTCAATTTTAAAAAAATGGTAGCGAAAGGGTTAAAATAAATCAATCAACCAGTCATTTCCTCTCAGTTAGTGCTCTAATATAACCCACGATCTAATATTAGCACCGATAACCACGTTTAGCGACGAAACCTTAATCAAAGCTCACAAAGAGAGCACAGCGTCTATCTCTAAGAACCTTGCTCCATATCTGGGGTCACCGTGCTGTAAATTGTATTTTCGTTGTCGGTCGTGTATTTAAGTGACGCAAAAGCCACCACGGATGAATTTTAAAGCGATCGACGGGGCGGCGAGGGGAGGGGGGATTAAAAGTAACATCGAGGACTCGCCGCGATCGATAATCACCGATCGCATCGGAAGCAACGACAAGAGCAAGAGAACCAACGACACGTTGTTGGCACGTTTGATCTTCTGCTGCAGAGCAGCATACTTTTCGCCGTCGTGAGCAGGCTGTGCTGCGCGACACGCCACGCCGAGCGTGATCTATCATGAAAAATTACCTTTGACTGGTAGCCCGTAGCTGACCGTTTTTCAGGTAATCGGGTACTCAGGTTGGAACTAATGGGAAATCCATAGAGCGCCAAGGGGTGAACGTTAAAAGCGACAGCGAGCGTGCCCCGACGAACGACGCTTCGAGTCGATACAGACGCTCTATGGAAATTATGTATTCCTCTCTGGACATAGTCTGAACGTACTTTAGACTTCAGAATTTTCACATTTTAAATATTCGTCAATTCTTACCCATGCCTTCGTTTTATGAACACTAATAACAGTTTCATCTTCGTACAATTGTTTTATAGTTATTATTAGGTCGTTGCACATGAAATGATTGATCTCACTGATAGGTATATTTGACCTTGCTTTTATAAATGAAAATTATTAACACGGTGTCTGTCTTTATTGCAAAATTACACATTGTATTCTACTCGTTTCCAGGTACTATCTAACATACCAAAAAACTAAAGTTAATGAAGGCAGACAATTAGTCTCAGTTACATTCGACCATTTCCTCCACATGAATTAAACGACGAACATTTAAGTCAATTTCATAAATAAACTTCTTTTAAAGTGTATTCGAAGTCACCTTCAAATTCAGTATAATTATTATGTAATAAACATAACATGAACGTAACATTTATATTTCAAAAACGTGTATAAAGTCTATTTAATTTTACTTCGCCTAATAAAATTCGTATAATCTCCAATACAATAGCAAGTGCTGGTAATAACATAACAATTTCATACGCAAGAACCTAATAAATTGGTAAGATCTAATAATACAATTTTATGTTACATGCAGAAGAAAACAATTTGCAATGAACGTATTTAACATTTAAAAAAAGCATAGATGGTAATTGGAAGTTGCTTCAAAATTGTTTTTAAGCATTTACTTTCATCATCAAATTTGTAATATTTTATATAACTGTAGCATTTAAAACTTCAAGATCTTATTCCATTAGAAGAAAAAACTTGATCTACAGTTATCTAAAATTTCAATATCGATATTTCACATCTACAATATAATTTTCATATAATATGTTCTTTTATTCCATAATTAAAATAGAATAAAGTGGAACAAAATTGACCACTGTTGACGTCTAAGTATCAAGAATCTGTTGATACCATCAGATTGTGGTCCTTTCTTATCCACCTAGGTCTACATGTGGAATGAGTACTGAAGTTACGTAAGCTTAATAAATCCATTCACGATTCTGTTAGACTCCTCGTTGAACCAAATATTATAAGGAATCTCCTGCAAGATAGAGCACAATAGGGGACAGTTCCAATAATACCTTTTTTTATGAAACAAAGTAAACTTGGCTCATTAGTCGAATCGACGATAATACGAATGAGGGAACGCTTGTTACAAATAATAAATGACTTTTATTCAATCTACAATAATGCAGCTAAGAAAAAGGGTGGTAGTATAAATATCTTACACCGCAACCTCGACCATTACCATTAATTATCGATTTGCGGCACGCTTTAATACCGATCTTTATTTAGCTCGATACTTCCTAATGTTCCGCATAAAAAATAAATACGGAGACCGATGTTTCGATCTACGAATTTTCCTCTAGTCAACACCTTCTTCGACGTTTCTCCTTTTTCATTTCGCCTAGTCGATCGTTACATTTATTCTACGTATAAGTCTACTTTCAACGTTCCACATGAGTACTTGTGTTTTATCATCACGGTCTCGTCGAAGCACATGTATATGAATAAATATGTTTCTATAAAATTCAAATTGCACACCGTTGAATAGTCATCGGTTCTAGTCCTCGTGGGTCGAAAATTCCACTACAGCGTCGCCGTGAATAATCTGGGCGAACAACGCCCTAGCTCTCTTTCTGGGAGACATCGACTCGTCCCCCAACTCATGGCGGTGTAGTCTGCGACTCATCGAAGGCATCCCAACGTCTGGGTTGTCCCCTATATTCGTCTCTAAATACACCGGTGGCAAAGTCGATCTCATATCGCTCTCCGACTTGGCGAACTTCTTGATGGGTTCCCTATAGCCGATCGAGATATCGTCATCCGCATCGAGGACAAATCCGTGACGCAGATGCTCCGACTTGGTCTGTCGGATCACAGAGGCGACGCACCTCTTTATATCAGCCTTGAGTACAGCCGCGACTGCTGTCTCTTTCTTGCCCGAATTTCTCGTCACGTTGTCCAGCATTTGCAACAACCGTTCGAAAGAATCACAAATCTCCTCCATAGACTGCTGGCTAAGCATCAAGAACCCGCTGGTCTCCTGCTCCTTCTCATTCAATGCGTTCTCCAATTGGACCAACCTCTTTTTCATCTCGTTCAGCTTCGTCTCGGCCTCCTCGCGACGATCACGTTCCTCGGCCAGCAAGAGACCACTCTGTCTAGTTTCCTCCAGCAGACGATCGTGCTCCGACTTCGCCTCCGCCAGCTGCACCTGCACCATTTGAATCCTGGCCGAGTCTTCCGGACAGAGACCGTCCGCCATTTGCGTCGCCGCGTCGACTTTCGTTCTTTGAACTGAGCTTAGATCCATATTCTTCGAAGATGTCCTGTTGGTTTCCTGTTGAACACTGTCGTTGTATATTCGATCGCATTTAGCGATCCCAGTCGTTTCGCCCATGACCGACTGAATATGAGACTGCAGATCCAAATGAAGAGACACTTTCTGCTTCTCTTGTGAACTCTGTACAACCTGCTGTTGATCTAGCTGCCGTCGTTGAGCGCTTAGATTCTTATACGGTAGAACGTTTGGTCTCACTCTGGTCTTCTTCGGGTTGTCAATTTGACTGGCTCCGTTCCTCGGTGGAACTTGATACGGCCTCTTAACGTACATCGTCATGGCGCTGCGTGGCCTGGGTAACGTTTTATTCTCATTTTCGACCCTCTTCCTGTTACCCGCCGACACCACTCTTCGATTCTGTTCGGGTGAAGCGAACCATCTGTACTCGGACTTCGTGTCGGCATTGTTCTCTTCTAGCCTCTTCATGATATGCTTCACCAGATCCTCGTTCAGGTTCGCGTTCTGCCTGACATCGAGTACGACCAGGGTGGTGTTGTACTCGAGCAGCTCAAAGAGGTCTTTGACGATCCTGTCGGTCAGCCCGCAACGTTGCATGTCCAGCGCCTTTAACCACAGACTGTCCCTTATCGCCTCAATCAGCTCAGTCGCGGCCGCGTCGCCCAATTGGGGATTGTCGTTCAACGTCAAACGACGTAATCCTGGCATCGCCTCGAGATTCGGTTCCTGGTATCTGAGCGATTGCTTCCAAGTGTCATGGTACAGGGACAGCTTTTGCCTAGACAACGCAGCCGCCAATGCTGGGCCGCATTTGCACGTCAGGTCGCATGAACTGAGATTCAACGATCTGATACTTGGAACATCGGCAACGGTGCGACACACCACCTCGCATGAACTGTCCCCGATGTAACAGCGTTGAAGGGACATGTAGCGAAGCGTCTTGGTGTGGGACAAACCGACGCACAACACCGCCAAGCAATCAGGAGGAAACGGGATACCTTCCAGCTCCAAATTGGTTAACGTCGGAGAATTACGGACGCACTGGCCGACGCTATGAGACATCCATTCGAGAAGATAACGGGACAATACTACCGGCGCTTTGCCCATTGTTCTGGCTTTGTCCTCGGAATTGATCTCTTCAAGCGGTTTGCGACACTGGTACCTACTGCGAACGCTGATCGATTTCAGGCTACGATCCAAGGACAAAGAGTTCAGAATCGGACCCCAATCGTCCATTTTCACGCGATCGGTCGTGAAGTCTAGATTGTGGGGCAAAGTCACGCAGATGACGGGCAGAGGTCGCAGACGTTGTTGCTTGCACAACTCCATGTAGCAATTGGCGAAGTTTCTACTGGTTGGGATCGCCATCTTCGATGGGGCAGCCAACGGCGCGCCGACCTTTTTACGATTGTCCGGACATTTCTGCTGACTACACATTGTACGATGGATAGATCGGTTCAAACGTTTTGGGTCCTGGCGAATATGAATTTATTTGAATATAAAATTAATTTTCGATGGGATCGTGGACGGTATTGTTCGTATCTTAGTGAATATTATTCATTTCTTTTCGGAATTCTAAAGACAAGATCGATGATTCGATGTGCAAGTTGATTCATTTAAATCTTAATTTACTAACCTTCCTCTATGTTACGTCGTTTGTAAGTTAACCGCAAATTTTTTGCACGCCGTCATCTGCACTCTCGCCTTTTTCAATCGTGCCGGGAAGACTGACGGTTTCAAAGTCCTCGGTGGAAAATTGTACGTGGAAACTGTAGCCTGATTTCGTTTCGCTGCTCTCGAAAAACCTATTTTAACCCACCTACCTACCCAAAATCGGCAATACAAAGTTTCTACGCGGCATACGTTGTATGTATGCAAACAAAACTGGCGTGCGAACAAATTAAAGTTGCCGCGAGTCGGCGAATCGATCGACGCTGATTTCGACAGCGTTTTGTACAAATCTGACCATGGAATAGCCAAACCGTCTTATTTTTAGTTTCTGCAGGATATATCCAAACTAATTATATTACACTATGTATTAAACTATCATATTGAAATATATTAATGAAAATAATATATAATAAAAATAATTCAACGGTATAATGGAAATGATGATTAGAAAATATTCTATAGCCACCATAGGCATTGTCGAAATATTTGCACAAAAATGTAAGGTAGACTAACATTTGATTAAACTTCAGAATAAAATAGGGGAAATATGATGTTTCAGGCCACCTGTGTCTCTGGCTATGGCGAGATATACGACACCGTTGCCTTTGCCCACAATAGCACCGACGACAAATTCGGCAAACCCACCGACACCACCTCGACAGGATAATGAGGATGGTATTTATCAATACTTTCCTATTTCATTCTTTATTCGCTGAAATCATTTTTAACATTTTGACTTTTGGGAAGTATTAACTTGCTGAGAAATACATAAATAGCCAATTGCATCATTCAGATATGTAGAGTGTTACATTTCTATAACAATCACATACATGGATCAAATGCTATTAGTTATGATTAGACTGCAGATCATTATTTTTTTCTACGTAAATTCAAACATTTTGAAATCAATTTACGGTACTGAACTTATGTCAAAGACTCGTTTCCTTTATTAAATGTTCTTTTGGGTCCAAAGTAAAGTTCATACTAATCTTGACGAAAATTTGTATTGCATTGTTTTTTGCACACTCACATTTAGGATAAATGCATAGAATGCTCAGGGTAGTTACAATTCATTTTACCTCTATAAGGTCTCATTTTTATTATGCTACACAGACAATTAAAACTATCGCTGAAATAATAGCAACCTTAACACATACTTAAGCTATTATTTACTGTCCATAAATTTAACAAACAGTCGTTAATTCTGAAGATCCTAAATATAAGAATATTATCCTAAGAAGGATTAGTTCTTTTTAATATGGATTCACGTCGTCAGAATTCATTTTAATGAGTTTCTTAATAATTTTCTGAAATAGGAAACGGGTCCGAGGACAGCATAGACGTGACTAACGAGGAACCGTTGACGCCTCAAAGAAGCGGTTGTACGCAACTTCCGCCTGTGATCCCATCGTTGTACTCGCCCGCCAGCGCTGAAACTGTGTACGAAACCAGCGCGAGGCTACTCTTTATGGCCGTGAAATGGGCGAAAAATCTACCGTCTTTCGCAAGTTTACCCTTTAGAGATCAGGTATGTCGAAAATAACGTAAAACATCAAATAGTTTTAAACGAAAATATATCGAAACGTAAAGACAGATATGACAATTAAGCTGTAGATGCTCATACAAAAAATCTGTGTAGATTGATTTCTAAAAGCGGAAGTTAAATAGAATTTTAATTTGTCTATCTAAACTTCATTGAGGGATTTATTTTAATAATGTTATCTACATTTATTATAAATGCATAGAATCTGCAATTTATTGATAATTCAGAAACTATGTTAATAATTGTAAAATAGAACACTTATTGAAGCTATTGTATCAAGTGTCATGACCATGACTATCAAGGCACTTAATTCTTTAAGAATCTCACCACATATATGGTTAATACCACCATATGCAAATGTTACATTGTATCATTAGGAGAAAATATTCAACGATCGTATATAACGAAGTTAACTTTTGACAAACTACTGTTTCAATGAGAGATTTAGGCAAATACAGAAAATCAAAGGGTTAGATCTAGACTAGAATATTACTATAATTTTAGAATAGAATAAATTTACAATATAATTACTAGATGTATCAATAAGTAATCCACTATATTTTGTCAAATTGAATACCTACACTTATTGTCGAGGAAAGTAAAAGTTTATGCTGTTTCAGTGATATATAGCCTTATTGTCCAATATTCGTCATCGTTTCGGAAAGGGTAGAAATATAATTTAAATCTAAACTGTATTCCTAGTTTAAGAAAAAGAAATAGTGCGTTACTTACTGGTGCACCTAATATAATTGTGAAAACAATAGCAACATCTTTTAAAGACGAATAACATAATTCTGAAATTCTCGAAGGACAGTATTGTAAACTGAATGATCCTTGTTCTGTAAACAGGTGATACTTCTAGAAGAAGCTTGGTCTGAGCTCTTCCTATTGAACGCGGTACAGTGGTGCCTGCCACTCGAATCCTCGCCCCTTTTCAACTCGGCGGAACTGACTGCGTTGACTTTATCGCCGCATCCGCATCCGCATTCGGGAATTCACATGCAAACCACCACTGGAAAACCGAGTCAGGTGGCAGCGGATGTGAGGCATTTGCACGACACTTTGCAGCGATACAAGGCCATAATGGTCGATCCCGCGGAGTTCGCCTGCATGAAAGCCATTGTTCTCTTCAGACCAGGTTAGTCGCTTCGTTCATCGAAAATCAAAAATAAGTTTCTTTAACGATATAATATCTACATAAAAGTATTTTTATAGGCACGATTAATTATATACACTTTCAAGTAACAAAATATACGACTTTGGAGATTTATCATTAGTAGACTACGGATGATTATGTAAATATGTTTTCCTGGACTATTTTATAAAGATTAGAGTCAAATAGAAAATTTGCCTTATTAAGGTCCCTAGAAGGTTTTAAGTATTATCATACAATTTGATACATACGAAAATTTGTCCAGGTATAGCAAATTCAGAGGATTAAATAAAAATACTGCTATTTCAATAAAGTATCAATATATATATTTACTGGATAGTTTTATGTTATAACTTAGTAATCTTCTTTCAAACTGATTATGAGAAAAGACAATCCAGTGTTTTCAGTCTCGGAGGTGTTAAATCGTGTTGAGTTAACATTAGAAGTTGAAGGATTTATGTTAAATTTATTAATTTGTTGTAATTAAAAAAATAAATGGAAAGTGTGCTTCGTCCGAATGTCCAAAAGAAAATTGCTTGAACGTGTGTTATAGAGACACGCGGCTTGAAGGATTCCAGTCAGATCGAAAACCTGCAGGATCAAGCACAGGTGATGTTAGGCCAACACGCAAGAGCTCAACAGCCAGCAAGTCCAGCGAGATTCGGCAGATTATTGTTATTGCTGCCATTGCTGAGGACAGTGCCAGCGTCGCGTGTGGAATTGATATACTTTCACAGAACGATCGGCAACACTCCAATGGAAAAAGTCTTGTGCGACATGTACAAAAATTAAACGCAAACATCCATCGACGACCATCAAACAGAAATGTTCTTCGAAAATTATCGGAAGTAGATACCTTGTACAGTGCCGTTTCGCACTCCAGGAACGAATGATATTCTGCTGACATCCGTGATATCGAGAATACTTTCTACGAGATGTTTAACTACTTCTGTGATGCATTTAACTCATTTATATTTAGATGACACTGACTGTACAATCTTAAACGATGTTCGAACACGTTATTCGTAATCGATCAGATCGTCACAAACACTTAATCGAGACTTTCCAAGATTAAACCAGTCTTGACGTAGCGTGTATAAAAGAAGAAGACGCAAAGACTTCCTTCGACAAGAGAATCGACACCGTATTAACTCGAGTGCAACGTGTTATCACGGATATATTCTTCGATTAAGAAAGAGATTAACGAACGATTAGGAGACGAATAAGACTATTGTGCTGACCAAATATGATCGAGGAGGATCGATTGTAGTCGATGGTTGCTACGATTGAATAAAGGTTTGGCCTAAGGATGAAGCCCCGAGCATGACCCTTTCGATTTACGATCCCGTCCGGTGTATCTCGTTTTTTTTTCTGCCGCTGGATCGGGGATCGACTAACGACGGATGTACTTCGAGAAAGGTAACGAATCAACACACCTACAGTATTTAGGTAACAATACAACGGTATCTAAGGCGAACGAAAGATACTCAAGTCGCGGTGTAAGAATCATAGATATATATACACATTTATTTATTATAGAAAATGTTTATCGAACATTAGGTTCGACGTGTTGACCAAGTCGTTTTTGTTCCTCCGCCTTTCAAACGCCCTCGAGCACGATCTGTACGAGTCTGACGAAAAATCGTTGTTTTGCAGCTCGAGGGGGATGAATAATGTGATTTATTTTATTTATCTTAGTTTCTGTTTACTCTATCGACTTTTGTTCTCGTATTAACCGATATCGGGTTTTCGATGTACGAGTAATGGGTATGAGTTTTACGGCGATTGTAAAGACAAATACTCGTCTGTGCTTTTCTTGTATATTTCGTGTTGTGATACTATTTGCTGTAAAATTCTAGGTACCGAGTCACGTGGCATATATTGTAACGATTACGTAACTACTTGTAATAAAAATATACATGCACAAGAATCTCTGCTGGAATAATTTACTTCCCAATAACTTTAAATTGAACAGTCGACTTCTCACACTGTTCTTTATATAACAAAAATATCGTTTCTTATTTTTTCGTGGTAATTGAAAGCTTTCAAATCATGTATTTTAAAAAGCTTCTCGACAAACACATATTTAAATAAAAATTAACAAAATCGGACAGTGAACATGTTTACGAAATTTTAGAAAACCTCTACTCATGATTTATACCATACTTCGCAAAATGGATAAAATTAGAAATACTTAATAATGGTATTATTATACTGTTAATAATTTTACTACTAACTATTAGCTACTCAAAATGGGATTAATTAAATTCGTTGTGCACAAAGACACACAATAATTCTTCACTTCCTGATGCATCGAAGATGAATTCAGTTTACTCAGCGACAAAGGTCAAGAGATCAGTAACACCGAACGGCTTTAATTTTCTGTTTACCTAACGGAGGGTGCACGGAGAATCCAGCCGAATCGAAATTTGACTTGGTACACGCCTGTTAGCGTACGATCGCTTCCCCGAGTCACGGTGGTTGTTGCATAAACGTACATATTTATTTATCACCGTATAATCCCTGACTTTCCCTCGGGGGTTTTGCCACATGGCAGTTTGACGGTCCCCAGCGGAATTACCCCCTCGGTCGCTTATAAATTACATCGAGCTACGAGCAAGGTTTAAGGGCCTGCTTAAGTTGTCAAAGCAATCGGAGAGTTAAACGCCCCGGCAACGGGGGCGAGACACCCTTAATACTTTTCCAATCGGAATGCTCCTTCGACTCGTGGGGCTCTTCGAAAACGACCTCCCCGTGTTATACTCGATTGTACGCATCTTTCGCGCGTGGTTCGTGGATGTGTATTTTTTGCAATCTTACGCGGTTAAAATAATGGAACCACATTTAACTGGGTAATCTTGCCTAAATAAAGGAATGATCTTTTTTAAATGAAACCAACATCAAAATATGACAGAATTAATAGATATTCGTATGTATTATAAAAAAGGTAAAAATAAGTCGGAATTCGAAAAAAAGGGTAGCTGAGACGGAACACCTAGGGAATTTGTAAAGAGAACATTAAAAACTTTATTTTTGCTGTCAAAAATGTATAAAAGATACAAATAAGTACATATATATCTTTCGTGTTTTACAGTTTTATAGATTAATTTTCACAAGGGAGAAATCAGTCAAATTTATTTCTGAATTTTATTAGATTGAGTATTATTGGGCATTATTGAATCTTTTATTGCATTTAATTTTGTACACTTATATTTGCACATAAATACATAAAATCTGTTGTTTATACTATAGCACATTTCAAATCGGTGCTGTGACTGGTTATTTAAACAAACAAACCGGTAATTTTCAAATAATGGTAAGAAACAGAGATAACAAGACTTGATAATAAAAAAAATTTATCAAGTGGACTTTTCTTTACAGTTGTTGAGATTATAGCGTGACTTATAACCACGAATTATTTCATACTGGTTCAAAAACTATTAAAATTAAAAGAAGAATAGTATTAATCATAATCATACGCCCAATAATAAAAAATCCCGTCAATTAACAATTTAATACAAAGTTTCTAAATATCATTTAAATTATTCCGGTTCATGCCATCTCACAAACTTACATTCCATACATGTGCAGAACCCATAGTGTAATCATAATTGCTTCAAACTACGTTTCAGTCAATTCATGAATATCACGTCATCTTATGCATTCATCAAAAGGACGACTAAAAAATATTTGGTACTGTACAATAGCATACCAAACAATCCACAGCTACCAACCCCGAATAACATGGCAAACAATTCGCAGATCGAAACCAAGTTGCAGAAATTCAATTTCTGTTCCACGCCCGATCCGATTCCTAAATTCGAGGTCGCCCGGTGAACACTCGTTTGCTTCGTGACGCCACGGAATCTTCGGAATCGAGGATCCTCGGGTACGTACACGTAACGAATTTCGATATCCTGTGACACCGACACAAGTACAGCCCAGGGGTGAGAGGAAAAGGCTGCACGGGTTACCGAGAGGGCACACGTAGGAGACAGGATGGGGTGGTTATAGTATTGACTCGCTTTTGCGGATGCGGGGGCGGAGTTTTCGACCTCTCCTCCCTACCTATCTCTCTCTCTCTCTCTCTATCTTCATCCCTCTCTCTGCGTTTACCCTACGTCACGCTTTCTTTATCCTTCTTCAACTCGCTTTCTCCCTATAAATAAACTGCAACCCCAACCTTTCGATCTCGTTCCTCTGTCACTCTACCGTGGGACACATCTCTTTCTCCTTGTCTCGTCTCCCTCCTACGCTTACCCGGTGACAGACTACGGTCTCTCCTTCCTCGTATTCCCCGACCGTTAACCGGACTTCACCCACCTCTATCTCCTTCTATCTCGTAGAATTTCTACTCTTCCCTCACTAACCTCATCTTCCTCCCTCGATCACTCTACCATCGGTGTCGTCTATCCTCCTCCGACCCCCACCCCCACCCCTCCCCGCCCCTTCGGTAGAACCCTGGTCGGCCAGGGGTCGAAAGGGGATGACTCGTCGCATAGGTCTGTCAAACCCCCACCCACGCAACGACAAAACTCCCGTTGAAGGGTGACGCAGCAATGGCGGCGGGACTTGTTGTATTTCGCTTTCCGAGGTGAGGCTCCATTCCCTTCTACCGTCTCGATTCCCGTTTTAAACCCCTCCGTCGCGGCCGCTGGAGGGCTGGGAATGAGACAGAGAGAGACAGAGAGTTGGCTAAAATGAAACGGACTGGGTCGGGGAACGCTGGAGCCGGGGACAAGCCGGGAACGACGGTCCAACGAAACGAGACGGAGGAATCGAAAGTGGTTGATGAGCGACGAAGAGGGTGGTAGCGGAGGGTGTTACCGTGGAACGAAAGAGGAAGCCAGCGGAACGGTATAGAGAGGGACGGAGAGTCTATATCGCTCGGAAACAGCAACCTCCATTTATTTTATTACATTATCATACCAACTAGGCGTTCGATAAGTGGGGCTTTAAAGCGACGGTTCTCAAATCGTTTTCGCGCAAGACGACGGGAGCTTCTTCGGTCGACCTCGTAAGTTAATATCCGAAAAAACACGGGTCGGAAGTTAATGGGTTCCATCGGGAAATAATTTATTCCACCGTTGATCTGTAATTTTTGGTATTACTTTTTTTTTAAGTGTCTCGTATTTTTAACGCTAGTCTAATGTTCACGTTGGCTTTGGGTAAATTGGAATTTTGTTTTTCTGTAGTACAAGTATGTACAGGTGTGCAGAAAACACGGAAATACAAATTTTCATTAACTTTCACTAAGTACTTCTGGTATCCATTGATATTTTAGCCTTAGGCAACATAAATTTTTTAAAAGATAAAGACAAATTGATTAAGCGTACAGTTATATACCCAAAGGTCATTTAACAAATTTTGTACTTTATTTATACGTAAGAGGTACAATAAGTAGATTGATGGAATTTTAGGAATGTGTATCTAACTTAATTAAAAAGACCGAGAACACATCATTTATTATATTATGCACAGTGTATTCGGTTCCTATTTTTTCAAGAAACTCTAAAAAAAAATACGAATTTTTATGAATATCTGCATTGCAGTAACAATGTGAATTATAATTCCAATGTCTCCGTTACTCCATAAATTTAAGTAATTCATTTTCTGCACCGGCTGAAATCATTCGATGGCCGAACCCGTTTGGTTACGGCGCGTGTTCGGAATTTACAAAGAAGAAACGTCGGATAATAATGCTAATAAACACACGTCTGGTTTACATAAAATTTCAAGAGCGCGGTAGACTTTAATTGCGATCGAAAAAAAAGGCTTCGACGCGGCTGCTT